TTTGCAAGATCTCCGCGATGAACTTATACGTCGAGCTACTACATTTCATCTTGCATTCGCTCGAATGCTTGGTTTATGATGCATTGCGTATTGCAGTCTCTTTCACCTTGAACACCGGATGTCCAGATCGTCGCCGAGATGTCCTTTCCTTTGTCCCTGTCATTCCGCTGAAATTCGAGGGAGAAGATTTAGAATTGAATGTAATCGCGAAGGCCAGTCGTAAATTTCGCGGGCGAAAAGATTTAAAGTCGTCGCTTTATCGGGCTTCTTGCAGCGACATTTTAACACGTTCAGACGCTACAAAATTTCCATTTGTTTCCTGCCAAAAGATTTACTCTTCTCCATGGATAATCGATAAAAGATTCAGTTACAAAAGGAGAAAAAAAAAAAAAAAATATGTGAATATCACATAGAAATCTCTGCGATTCCAAATAAAAGAAATTTCGAAGTTCACGGGGTATATAGTAGAATTACAAAGATTGAGCAATATTATGTAAATTAATGTGGCGAAATAATGTCGAGTAATTACAAAGATGACCACTGATATTTTTCCAACTATCAAAGATATTCGGCAGGAGAGACGTATTCATTTCGATTGATCATCGAAGGTTGAGGAAAAGAGAGGAGGGGTTAGGCTAACAATAAATACACATGGTGAGAATGAATTGCGCAATGGGACACGATGGCGTCTTCCCCAGGCTGTTACCAAGGGATGTCGACGCTGAGTCGCATAAGTAGCGAGGGGTTGCAGGCTAAGTAGAAAGAGAATTGACTAGTCAGCCATTAACCTAGATTTATAGAGGTCGCTCTTGATTTAATCGCGATTATTATTCCAAATAGTTCCATTCCATTCAATAAGAACACTCGCGCAAATACGTACTTTACACTTACTCGAGCGTGCTTGCAACAAAATTACACGTAACGTTGAATTCCATTTCAAATTCTCGGTCACGAACATCTTTCATCAGTGCGTTACGTCACAATGGCTTTAGTTGTGCGAAAGTAATCAAGCAATCCACCAGAACAGAAAGATCTGGAAAAATTCTTTCGAGACACTTATGTCGTTCAAGGTGCCCTGAATTCGAAAGCTTTTCAAATCTAGATTAGCGCCAGCTGTCCTCGAATCAGGCATAAATTCACGAGGGCTGTAATAAAGGATACCGCGAGATCTCGAACGTATCGACAAACGCGAGTTCACGCGAGCCCCTTAATTGGAGGCCGGAAGTAGGTCAGCTGTCAACGCTTTTACTTGTATCCCTCGAATAACGAAAGAAAAAGGAACCACAGCTCAATTACCGAAAAATTTATTGTTCAAAAATTCAATTACCGAAATCAATTATTTCATTCTCGCTTCTCCCGGCGTGTCTCCTGTTATATTGCAATTCCAACTTCTCATCGACAACAGGGTGTGGCGTTTCTGGTTGGAACCGGGTACGAAATTGATGAATATAAAACGAGCATGGTTGGAAACAGGGTAAAGTGAGCGTAGACACGCAGCCAGAAGAGGGTGTGGACCTCTTTATTTCGTTCGTTCTACCGTTTTCTATCCCCGGGGTTCTTTATCCGTGGGTTAACGATGGCCGTCGCCATGTAAGTCACGCGCGCAAGAAGTGGGTAAGAGCATTGTTGGAAAAGACGAGCATGGGGCCATGTATTATTAGAAAACGGTGTGCTTACATTACGCTGCTCTGAAATTAAGCTCATGTCGTGCACTAGAAATCTAATTTCAACCGGCGTGTCCTTCTTTTCGATCGTTGCTCGAGGCCTCTCCTGGATATAAATCTTAGCTGTTTCCTTTGAGAAAGAACTAGGCAACAGCTGTCAGCCATCGTTCTGCAACAATAGATTCGTTCTTTCTCGTGTATTATTCGCGAGCTTGATACCAAGATTCTCGATGATTAATCGCTTCGGCGAGGCGTAATTTTGAACCAGTTGAACACGTATGTACAATACCTGTTTTTTTTTTTTTTTTT